CAAGAAAAGTAGCAGTTTCATGTTTCCCAAGTCCACTTGTTTATATCGACCTCAGCTGTCATCTCAGCTCTTGGAACTCCACCGAGTGCAATGCTCCATGTCTTGTTTTAGGTTCAGAGCTCTAGGCGTCGACAAGGAGTGCCTTTTACCTTTTTTGAGCAGCATATGATGTTAACGGCCTCAAGTTGCATTCAGATACCTTGTCAGAAAGCAAAAACTTCAAAATTTCCCCAACACGTGGAGCAGATAAATCCTGCAAATGTAGCATGGTCAGTGACTTATACTAGAATAAGTGTAATATAAAAACTTCAATGAAGAATGCAAAACTAATATTATACTCAGAAGGTACTAACTACTCCACATTTTGTGAGCATCCAGACTCGTTCACTTCATGCAGTGATTGCTTTTTAATTGAGATTTATTCTGTTACCATAAATTGTTCAAGTATTTAGATGTAGACCTGACAAACAAGGTAGATACCATGAAACAGAGTTTGGTACCATGATATGTATACTAGGCTACAAGCCACTGCTAAATAGCTATCTCAATAAACATATTTCTATCCGCAAAGGAGGTATGGCAATTACAAACACCAAGTTAACTCCAAACACCAAGACCGTTTCAAGATTACAAACAAGCATGCAAATTTCGAGTCTTTAGTGATATTGGTGACCAGTCTTTCTTTTTCCTCTTCTACTTGGCTTCTCCTGTTGTAGACCAAACTTGAGCTTAACACGACAGTACACGAATTGTTTCACAACTTCCTTCCATTTTTAGATTAAAAAAACAAGATTGGTACTCCCTCCATTTTTATTTAGTTCGCATATTAGCTTTGGTCAAAGTCAAGCTTTACAAACTTTGACCAAGTTTATATACAAAAATATTAAGATATACAATAACAAATCAACAACATTAGATTTATTATTAAATGTACTTTCACATCGTATAGATTTATTATGATAAATGTCTATATTGTTTTCTATAAACTTGGTCAAACTTTACGAAGTTTGACTTCAGTCAACTCTAATATGCAGAGTAAATAAAAACGGAGGGAGTACTTGAAATAGAGGGTGTGCACGATTCTTTCTGCAAAAGCCACCAGCAGCCTTTGTATGAAATTATCTTTTTTATTCTATAAAAAATATGCACATTCATCCAAAGTGCTTTTGCCGAGGAAAGACTGTTTATGCAAGAAACAAGCAAAGCCTATGTTGCAGGCTTGCAGCATAAAAGTTGCCAGTTACGAATATGTTACAGTAACGCTTAATATCCTTGCTATGCCTATATTGCAGGCATGCAGCATGGCATAAGGCATAACACAAAAGGTGGAACCTGAAGATCAAGCAGTTAACATGCTGAAGCAGAAACAATCACTTCAAATGGTTATATTTAAGGTCTGACTGTTGAATTCAACAACACAGTGTAAAAGTTTCAACAGCTGCAGGTTTGCCTCTGTTGCCAATGAGGCTTCCTTGCAGCACATTTGATTTTCCATTCCAGAAACAATGACTCTGGTGGTGCTTATCTATTATCCTGGACACCTCAGCAACATCCCCAATTGATTAACATGAGTTTTATTATAATCCTTTCCCCACCGCTGCGGTCAATCTCTATTATCCCCCAAAAAAAGAGCAACCAGAAGGAGCTCTGTCTCTTCATTAAGTACAAAAAGAATTGGCTAGTTGATAAGGGAAACCAGCCGAAAACCAACTTCATTGTCTCAGTCATAATCAAGATTTGGGACATCTATCATGCCAATAATACCACTAGCATACTAATGCGGTAATCAATTTTGGCCAGTATAACCAAGGCAAGGCGTCTGTTCTCTCAAATTGCATGTTAGTATGCTACTGCTAAGCTCTGGTTTCAGGTCAAGACGGTGCAGATAAAACAACTTAAAAAAATTTCCTTTTCATATATCTACAGTCACGGCTGACATCAACTCGTACCTTGTTGAACTACAATAATGACACTAGTCATGTTCGATTGTCCGTTGCTTATGCAGCTATTGACTTTAGCAATGAGCAAGAGAGCATATAGAGATCACAGCCAATAATCAATAATCAGCAACAAGATCCACACTTGATGGGAACAACAGGTAGTGTCATGCAGCTATTGACTTTAGCAATGATCAAGAAAGCATATAGAGCTCACAGCAAATAATCAATAATCAGCAACAAGATGTCACACTTTATGGGCACAACAGGTAGGATAAGCATGAGAGGAAAACAAGCTGGATAAACATATCTTGCTAGTGGGCAGCTAGGTATAGCTAGCATAAATCAATGGCATGTACTATTGTTCGTTGCTTATGACATAGATCACTGTTTGAAAGTGATCAATTTGTCGCAAGACAATACAACATGCGAGAAGCAACTGTGTGTTATCACACGTCAATTTGGTGACTGAATGGGATTAAAGGCCAGAAGTATGTCTAGAAAGGTGGCGCTTGAATCAAAACGTGCAAACAACATTGGCCACCTTCAGGTGAATGTGTTTTGAGGTACTGCAAGATAAACAAAAAGAAATAAGCATTCAGCATAGTTTACAAGTCAACTTTCACACTCAGGGAAAATAGCTTCAAAACGTGCAAAAACATCCTGATGTGCAATTTGAAGGTTAAGAAATGTTAGTGAGAAAAATTGAGGTATAGTTGGTGTGTGCAACATCTCCTCTTAAACCTTACTAACAATTCAACCCGGCAATCCGACCCATGGGTTCAGCCACCCATGGGCACCCGACCCGAATGGGTAGGGTATGGGTCGCCATCTTCGCCCATGGGTACCCTGATTAGTCATGGGTTCCCATCCGTGGGTCACCCGATTAACTGACATGTGGGCCCATGTGTAGTTAAATCCCAGCCAACACATTGAGCCAGTCCAGCACCAAAGTCCACTCGTGACCCAACTCCTAAACCTAAACAACGTAAATTTATACACACAGCCCAACCGGCCAGAGTACCAGAACCACCACATACCGGCAGCATTTCGTGGAATCATTTTTCCCTTGTCTCATTTTTTTTTTTGAGGGGCTTCCCTTGTCTCATTTACAAGTGTGTACAGGCTATAAATAGCATAAGGCCAACTTCTACCAGCCCATGTAGACGCAAGAAGCTATAATGGGCCACGGGTGCCTCTACCCAACGCATCAGCAACGCAGCAAATTTAGTCCCACCTCGGCTAGCTAACATGGTTGTGAGCACTCGAAGTCTATAAATTCGCAAGTGACTGCTCAGTTATCTGTACTTGCTCATGGGTGAGAGATGGACCAGATAATGGGTTCGGGCATTGGTCTGGTTGTGGTTAACCCGACCAAACCCGACCCGACTGCCAGGTTGACTAACAATGTGCAATCAGCAACCTTGTCCAGGAATTATCTTTAAAAAGGGCAACCTGGTGCATGTAGCTCCCGCTTGCGCAGGGTCCAGGGAAGGGTCCGACCACTTTGGGTCTATAGTACGCAGCCTTTCCCTACATTTCTGTAAGAGGCTGTTTCCAGGACTTGAACCCATGACCTCATGGTCACAAGGCAGCAGCTTTACCACTGCGCCAAGGCTCCCCTTCTCCAGGAATTATCTTTGCTAGTCCTAAAACACTTGAGAGCAAATTGTAGGTCCTTTCATTCTGGGCACTATTTGGCTTATTTTACCAGACTTCGCCTATGTTGTTGGTCTCTAGACAGTCTTTAGTCTTTACTTTGTGATACGGAACAATACGGGTGCGTGAAATTTTTTTCCTATGGATCAACTGCATAGAACAAAATATTTCCTATAATAATCAGTAAACTACAGAGGAATATGGGTATAGAAGTCCGGAATGATGATATACGAGATAAGAGTTGGGGTAGCACCAATTGAGGAGAAGCTTGTCCAACATCGTTTGAGATGGTTTGGGCATATTCAGCGCAGGCCTCCAGAAGCTCCAGTGCATAGCGGACGGCTAACGCGTGCGGAGAATGTCAAGAGAGGGCGGGGTCGACCGATTTTGACATGGGAGGAGTCCGTTAAGAGAGACCTGAAGGATTGGAGTATCGACAAAGAGCTAGCTATGGACAGGGGTGCGTGGAAGCTTGCTATCCATGTGCCAGAGCCATGAGTTGGTTGCGAGATCTTATGGGTTTCACCTCTAGCCTACCCCAACTTGTTTGGGACTAAAGGCTTTGTTGTTGTTGTTGTTGTTTGTTGGATCAACTGCATAGAACAAAATATTTCCTATAATAATCAGTAAACTACAGAGGAATATGGGTATAGAAAACGTAGGCTAAGAAGAGCTTCTGCCTGCATATATATGCAGTTGTTGGAGAATAAGGATATATAAGTGCAAAGGGAAGCATCTATAAACACTGAAACGTAACTCCTGGCCAGTGTGAAATATCTGCAGTTGTTGGAGTATAAGTATATTTAATTTCAATAAAATGCAATGTGAAACGCTGAAACCTAACTTGCAGCCAGTTATGCTGTAACATCACACAATATAGGTGTAAGCAAAGACTGTGAGACACTGTAAATTGAGACTATGAATCAATGATTCAGGCGTCATTTTATTCACAGTAAAAGTCTGCTCGGATTATGATGCCACGTAGCTTAAAAACAAATAACCATAATTCATGGTCTGACCATTAAGGAGTACTTCTTTTCATGTTATCTCTGGGTAAGCGGCTGAAAATATACATCTAATCCAGACAAGATTGACTGAATTACCTAAGATGCTAGAGAATATTTTTTTTATAAAATGCCTTACAACCTGATCACATATTAAATGGATGAGGCATTGCAGCACTTTTGAATAGTGAATAGAGGCTCGTTGTTTCTTCTACACAACAATTGCACTACTACCATAATTCAAATTTTAGATGTGTCCTTGTCTTTGTTGTTGTCCAAGTTCACTAAATCAAAGATTAAATGCCTGCGTCTGCCACAAAAGTATGCCAACTTATGCAAAAAGAACATAAATTTATGAATAGCAGTCAATGCAATAAGAATAGAGGTGTGTACTGACCTGTTATTGAACAAATACGCCGGAAGGGCATACAAAACCATGCTTCCACATCATGCCAAGTATCGTATCAGCCTCGGATCTTCTTCCGCAGCTCAGATATGCTTTGTGCATAATCCAGAAGGTCTTCTTTGTCCGGTCAAACCTAAAATACTCCATCTCATCCAACACCCCATGCATCTCTGCCAGTCGATGGTGCTTCCCATACATCACCATCTTGCAGTGGTATAAACTCCGGCACAGCTTCCATCCGGCCTCCTCAGCCTGCCAGACAAAGTGTGCGAGTCTGTCGACAGCGTCACACTGGAAATAGTTGGTTATGACAGACCGCATCACCTGTGTTGTGGTGACTGTGGTATTGCGTTCCAATGCCTCAGCAATCCTTCTTTCCATCCCCTCAACCAACCCCTCCTTGGCATACACCCTAATTAACAACACATTGAGCCAGGGCCTATAATCCTCAGGACGCAACTTCAGAAGCAACTCCTCGATCTTTTGAATCCTATCTACATGTGCAAACTTGCAATATGCACATAGCATTGCACGTATATGCACTATATCAACCTTGCCAGCATGCTCACGAGCACGCTCATAAGCCAGCTCCATCTTATAAATCTTCCCAGCATGTGAGTAACCTCTTAACATCAACAAATGTGTAGTGGTGTCTGGAACAACTCCACCTGCCATCATTTCATGGAACGCAGCTTCCATTTTGTCCCACATCCATGCCGTGAGGTAGCCAGCGATGACTGCATTGTAGGTACCAATTGTACGGGGCTGTCCTGAGGCATCCAGCGACTGGAGTGTGGCCTCCATGTGGTCGACGAGGAGGGAGCGACCGAAGAGAGCGATGAGGATGTTGAAGGAGTCCGCATTGGGCGGACCACACCGTGGATCACGCCGCAGCGCGTGGAAGGCCTCGACGCAGCTATTCACAAGGCCACTGTGCATGTAGGCGGCCATGAGGGCATTGTAGAGCGCCTGGTCGGGGCAGTAGGCGCTGGAGGCGTCGGTGAAGATGTTGGCCGCGGCGGTGGGGTCGCGGGCGCGGCTGGCAAGCGAGATGGCGACGACAAACTCGGGGAGCGTGGGCGGCGGCGAAAGCGTGCGGCGAAACGAAAAGACCGCGAGGCCGAGGTAAGGCTTGGGGCGGAGGAGGGACAGGAGCTCGAGGGAGGCGAGCGGCGAGACTGCGAGGAGGGTGGGGAATGAATGGGCGTGGAGGGCGGGCAGGGGGTCGGGATCCGAGACGGGCAGAGCCAGAAGAGAGGCGGCGAGGGAGGAGACGGCCGCGCGGAGGTGGGAGGCCGTGAAAGGCGGGAGCGGCGTGGAGGCGGGCGAACACGGCTGCGGCCAGGGCGCGGGATGAAACGGCGGCGGGGAGGTGGACGACGGGATGGAGGTGGAGGGGATCGCGTCGGGGGGAATGGGCACGGATGTGTAGGGGAGATGGACCGAATGGTGGAGGTGGCGGCGGCGAAGCAACGGGAGGAAGTGGCGAGCGGGGTGGCGGGACATGGGAGGAGGAGGGATTCGGCGGCGGCGGCGGCGGCGCGATGGGTTTTAGGGATCGATGTGGGGGGAGAGGAAGAAGAGGGGCAAAGGCGGCCAGCTCGGCGTAGCGTTTTTGCGTCACCTCAACAAGCTGACAACTTGGAGACGGCTCGGCCTGGCCTGGTTGAAGAGTGCTCTTTACGGGCCTGGCTGGTCAGACCAGTGATGTGGGCTTAACGGGCCTGCAGTGATGTCGACTTGACGGGCCTTGCTGGTCAGACCAAGTGAGAGAGGTTTCTCAAAAAAAAAGTGAGAGACGAGCAACTCTCAAATCCAGGGTTTCGAGATGGAAAACTCTTTAAAACATCCGCCACGCTCCTCGCATGCCACACGCCACGCGTCCCCGTGGAGACCATCTATCACGCGTTTTTCTCCCTTAGGCTGGTTATAGTGGGAGTAATTTATACTAGTGTCATGCATATGACATTAGTCTAAATTACTATTTTCATGGTGCAAAGTATCATAGTAGTAGTGTCATAGAATGTTTCATTTATTGCCTTATAGACTCATTTTACCTCGGGAAGCGCTATGTTACAATAACATACTTCCTCCGTCTCAAAATAAGTGTCTCAACTTTATACTAACTCTAGTACAAAGTTGTACTAAGCTTGACACACTTATTTTGGGACGGAGGAAGTATTATGTTATTCCAAACACCTCTCATCTCATTAAATACTTGTCACATAAGCAAAATTGTCTTGGGGTATGTTAAGTTACTACCTAAGTTATCCCATTATGACTAGCCTTATCTCTCGCGGTTACGGGAGAGCCATTCGTTTCCCTTTCCATCGGTGGCCTTATCCTTTGGACGTGAAGCCGCCATCGCACACCACTCGCTACCTCTCCCGGCCAATATGCAGCAAGCTCCGCGGCCGAAATAGTGCACATCGGAGTTCCTAGGCGGTTGATGCGAGCTCGCCACGCACCACTGCCGTGTTTCACAGTAGCAGCACGAGCTAGCCACGCACCGCTCGTCTCAACGACTGTTGGTGCTTTAACGCAGCAACTCGTCCCCGACCGCCTCGCTGCGTTGCAACCTCGTCGGGGGCTGCTGGTGCTGCAAGTCACGGGGCGGCGGAGCTGCAATGGAGCGCTCGCCGTGCTCCAATGAGTGCTCGTCAGCGCTCCCTCCCGGCGCTACAATGGAGCGCTCCTCGGCGCTGCAATGGAGCGCTCGCCGACCACCGGTGCTGCGATGAAAGCTCTCGGCGCCGGCCTCCGGGTGCTGCAATGAAGCCCTCATCGCCAACTACCGACGTTGCAATGGAAGCCACGGGTGATGCAATGAAGCCCTCGTCGCTGGCCGCCGGTGCTACAACGAAGCCCTCGTCGCTGGCCACCATGCTGCAATGAAGCCACGTCGTCACCGGCCACGGGGGTGGTTCTCCTACCATGTAGCAGCACTGGAGCGACGGTGCTGGAGAGGTGTGCTGCGTGCGACTTGTCTGTGTTTGCTGACTCGAGAGGAGAAAGCCGGGAGCAAGCTGATGCGTTTGACCCCATCTACGGGTAGGGAGGATGAATCGAATGGCTGCGGACCCGACTGGTTTCTCCCGAAATCAGTCGGTTGATTTGTAGCAGTGGCCTTACGAGATGCGGTTGACGTTTGTATGTGTTCGCACTCCTTTGTCTCAAAAAATTGTGTTTGTACTCATTTCTGGCAAACCTCCTGTCAAACGAGACATTCTGCCATGACAGGCGACTCGGGTGAAGCGCATTCGAGAAGGTAAAACATGAAAAAAAAAACAAGAGACATGGAGGAAACACTCGGTAGCAAGGCACACATGGGGTCTGACAGTGACCAATTCTAGCTCTCCCAAGGTAATGCAAGTTATCATGACTCAATCGGCAAGCGACACACCGATTCGGTTTGATATTTGAGTCGGCATGCCGTCATGTCCTAGTTGGAAGGTTCTACCCGGTATGCCGTCATGTCTCAGCCGGTAGGTTCTATCAGGCTGATGTTATGCCCAGTCAGCAGGAGGCCATTGTGCTCCACCCGGCTTGTTGTTATACCTATTCAGCAAGCCATCATGCTTAGTGCCTAGTCATACCACAATATAGCAGGCAGTTATGTTGATGGCTCAAGGACTTGGAGGACAGCATATGAAAACTTGCACCAGAACGCCTTGAAGATGGCCTCAAAAGGTGACGTGTTCAACATGAAAGTTTTTCCCCTCAAAAAATATGAAAGTTGTGTGTGTCATCAAGACATATAAGTTTCCTTTTGGAGTTATTGCAATCCAGATTAGTGTGCAACTTGTAGAGTCATGATAAGACGCGAACAACTTAGTGTGCTACTTGCTGGATTCCGACCTCAAGATAAAGATGGGCCAATCGAGCCATCAACACGGCCTTAGATGGAGAAGTGGCCTGCGTTGGGTTATTCTTATCATTGAGACAAACAAGTTTGATGTTAGACTCAACTCCATTCGAGTTAGTATATGATTTCTACGACCCACACAAGAAGCAGGACAAAGGTATGGGACAGATCCGAGCCAAATCCGAGTTGGTTTAGAACTAGAGCTTTTAGGACGTGAATTGATGTAATTTTCTTGTAAGGAAAACCTAAACGAGTCCTTACTTGTACGGGAAGTCCAGTCGCCTCATAAATATGTGGTTGAAGCCGCAGGCTGACCTGCTCGAAGTCTTGAGATCGGATGTATCATGTTAAAGCACGACGGAAGCACACACTAATGTAAGACCAATGTTCGGATTGGCACCAAGAAAAAACTTGATTTAATGTAGACATAATTTTTTACTAAAGTGTTTCGGTTTTCCGAACTTATGTCACCTTTAACCTATTTGTATGTTTTTTAGGGGGGGGGGGTATCCTCCTGACTGAGGTGCCCTGTGTAATAATTTATCTTAGGAAATCTTTTCCGGCCCGCAGCTCAGCATCTTTCCTACCGACCTGCACCTCGGCTTGACAAAACACACGCCACATCTGGACTAGTTTCTGAGCAGTGCGACGCTAGACGCCTTTAAAGCATCGGCAATATTAACGGGGGGCTGAGACTATAGCCGAACCCATCAAAAGCCAAGGTACTCCGAGGAGTCCTCGGCAAAATGTTCTCGGATATTGCTTTATATGCATCAGTTTTGAATTGTGTCTTCGGTCAATAGTTGGGTTGCCCAGCTCTTGTGATTGCCTCCTACATTCCGCTTTTGTTCGGCTAGGTGTGCAAAGGGAGAACCACTGCGATTGTACTTCGGATTTAACTGGTCAAGTACCTCGGTGGAGAAAGCCGAAAACTGACTGTCACAATGCGCGCAAATTGGTCAGCAATCCAACGGCTCTGTCAAACTATAGATCGATAGAGGTTACCCCATGGGCCTTTCATAAAATTGGCCGAAGTGTTAATGGCTTGACCTCGGCTGATGCTGAACACTAACCTGGGGCTAGTAACTGGCCTCCTAACTTTAAGCTCCTATGACTAAGTGAAAGTTATAAAGCCTAGATATCTGATTGCCTTGTTTCCACTAACACAAGTGCCTCCGGCCACCTAGACATCGGCTAAGGCTTGTCTTGTTAATGCGGAAACACCCTGTGTAGCATCTACAAAGGGGTAGAAGCCGACGATGGGTCACTCTCAAATGATAAATGATCATAAAGGAGTCAAAAAAGCATATAGCATAAAAGCATTTTGATACGTCTCCAGCGTATCTATAATTTTTGCTTGTTCCATGTTGTTATATTATCATTCTTGAATGTTTTACAATCATTTTATACCACCTTTATATCATTTTTGGGACTAACCTATTGACGTAGTTGAAGGAAATATGCCCTAGAGGCAATAATAAAGTTATTATTTATTTCCTTATTTCATGATAAATGTTTATTATTCATGCTAAAATTGTATTAACCGAAAACATAATACATGTGTGAATACATAGACAAACATAGTGTCACTAGTATGCCTCTACTTGACTAGCTCATTGATCAAAGATGGTTAAGTTTTCTAACCATAGACATGAGTTGTTATTTGATCAATGGGATCACATCATTAGGAGAATGATGTGATTGACTTGACCCATTCCATTAGCTTAGCACTTGATCATTTGTTTACTGCTATTGCTTTCTTCATGACTTATACATGTTCTTATGACTATGAGATTATGCAACTTCCGAATACCGGAGGAACACTTTGTGTGCTACCAAATGTCACAACATAACTGGGTGATTATAAAGGTGCTCTACAGGTGTCTCGGATGGTACTTGTTGAGTTGGCATATATCAAGATTAGGATTTGTCACTCCGATTGTCGGAGAGGTATCTCTGGGCCCTCTCGGTAATACACATCACTATAAGCCTTGCAAGCATGATAACTAATGAGTTAGTTACGGGATGATGTATTACAGAACGAGTAAAGAGACTTGCCGGTAATGAGATTGAACTAGGTATTGGATACCGACGATCGAATCTCGGGCAAGTAACATACCGATGACAAAGAGAACAACGTATAGTGTTGTGCGGTTTGACCGATAAAGATCTTCATAGAATATGTAGGAACCAATATGAGCATCCAGGTTCCACTATTGGTTATTGACCGGAGACGTGTCTCGGTCATGTCTACATAGTTCTCGAACCCGTAGGGTCTATGACGATCGGTTTTATGAGTTTATATGTTTTGATGTACCGAAGGTAGTTAGGAGTTCTGGATGTGATCACGGACATGACGAGGAGTCTCGAAATGGTCGAGACATAAAGATTGATATATTAGAAGCATACATTTGGACATCAGAATAGTTCCGGGTGAAATCGGGATTTTACTGGAGTACCGGAGGGGTTACTGGAACCTCCCGGGGGCTAATGGACCTTGTTGGGCCATAAGGGAAAGAGAGAGGGGCTGTCCTAGGGCAGGCAGCACGCCCCCTTCCCCCTGTCCGAATTGGACTAGGAGAAGGGGGGCGGCGCCCCCCTTTCCTTCTCTTTCTCTCCCTGCTTTTCCCCTCCTAGTAGG